TTGGTCTTTAGCTTTGTGCCATATGCCCTGAAGCTCTGTGTGTATCTCTTCCTCTCTCTCTCTCTACACTCCACTGCTTTCGCTTCCTCGCTGTGGCATGTCAACTGCACAATGTCTTCATTTGTTCGTTTGTTGTTTCTTAGTTTTGATTCCACATTTTTTATTATTAATATTAATAAGCAGACATACATACAAACATATTTTGCCCCACTCTTCACCTTGTCTTCTTCCCCACGTCGCCACTTACCTTGACGCATATACCACCCAATTGACTGTCTCCTCCTTCCTGCTTTTCTGTTTACATTTTGTTATTTGCAGTTATGCCTGCCTGCCGGCGGCCCCCTGTTGCTCGCTCGCTCTCTCGCTCAGTTGCCAACTTGCCAACTTGCGAGCTCGGTTGTCTCAAATTAATTTGCTTATAAATACAATTTGACATTGAGCGCAACAAAATGTAAACATTGCATGCTAAAATGAATTAAAAATGCAAAGCAATACAACGCAGAGTTGTATTTACGTGCAAATACGTGTAAGTGTTCAGCAGTTACTGTGTGCGGTGTAAGACGCAGAGACAGTAGCGGCGGCAGAGATATGCTCGTGCTCTCAGGCATTTTAGGTTGAATCGCAAGGTGGATTAAATGGTGGATAAAGTCAAGCGATAGAGAATGTACGTGAGCTGAAGTTGTTTATTGATGTGTTGTTGTTGTTGCTATTGTTGTTGTTTCTGTTGCATGAAGGATGCGTGTTTGCGCCGGAAATGCAGGTGGATTTAGCAATGAAGGAGAGTTAATCGATATTTGATGACTAGCACTTTTGCAAAAAAAAAACTTTTTTTTCGAAAGGAAAATTTGTTCTTCGCGTTTGAGCGGCCATCTAAGGATTGTACATGGCGTTTAATTAAATTTTAAACGATAGAAACTGCAGTTGCTAGTGGCTCAGCTTCAGTATGGCAAGATAATTGCCAGTTGTTCTCAGCGCTTTCTGAGCATGGAGACTTGATGCTTTGGCTTGTGGTGTTTTAATGTGATTGGAAAGGCCTTCATTAGTTCAGGATTTTTTTATAATATGAGACGTAAGGAGTAATTTGATACTCTGCACTGCAAAAAAAAAAAGCTCCCATCGACTTTTTATACTAGAAATCTGCGAACCTCCAGCATAATAAACATAACCACAAAAAAACACGCGGTTTAGTAGAAAATTTAGGGCTAATCTTACACCGCATACTCATCTCACTTAAGGTGGCGATCAGTAAGAGCTGTGGACTTGGAAAATTGATTGACCCATATTTTTCCACAGAGTTACTTTCTGCTGGAGAAACGAATCGCAAAATGCCACAGTTCTGGATCATAGGACCGTAGCCAACTCACCTCTCGGTATCGAATTAAGTAAAAGCCTTCGATACCAAGATGGTAGGGTGAAACACCAAGGGGTTTGAGCATTAGGATAGGTGAAACGAGTATCTTTAACAGGACTAACAAACTTATAACAATAGGCCAATGAGCTGAAGTGGCTACATACCAGTTTGGTATTCATTTTTATGGTGGAAATGACATACTGAGAACAAATAGTATCTTTTAAATTGATCATATTACTCATTTTCCAGCTACTGGTGATCCACAAGGTTTTTGATTGAGTCATTTACCACTTGCACCATATTCTGAAAGAAGTCTTATCTTGACAGCTCTCAATTTTATAGGACAACAATCCTTCAGATCAAGATCTACTTTCAAAATAATTTTCTTTGTTTATCAGTTGGTAAGCCTTATGAACTCTTTAGATTTACCTCGGTCAACTTTGGAACGATTGTGCACAGAACACGTTTTTTTTCACCCTGACGAGGCCTGTTCGAAGGGATTACTGTTGGTTTATGGTTTACGGTTGAAAAGAGTAGAGGCTACAGATCTAGCTCAGAAGCCGAAATTAGGCTCATTATGCTCCTCTGTGTATCCCAACTAAGCCTTAGCGAACACGTATAAACAGTCTTATTTTCTTCTACTCATGTTTGCCTGAGGTTTACCTCATCGAGACCCTTGCAAGAATATTAAGTTTTCCTTTTGCTTAGGGCAAAAGCTTGGCCTGTCTGGAATTAACGCTACTCCATAGGAACTTAAGATAGCACTTGGACAATTACGTCTGTGCACAAGCAAGCTATACTCCTGTAATCTCAGTGCAATTTTTCCAAATGACTTCTTTGAATAGCACCTCGCATGTAGGGATTGGATTCTTACACGAAGCATCTGGTTGGCTGTACTTTGCTTACGACTTTCGTCTGAACTGCCAATAGGGAGCGTTTGCGAGATATGGTCTGTACTAATTGGCAATCGACTGAAGAAATTTACGATAGTCCTGCGTGATTTTAGTTTTTAACGAGATCGAGCTTAGGTTTATTATCACAAATTGACTATTTTTAAAACTTTAGCCTGGGACCTCAATGGATTGTTAGAGCAGCGCAAGTACTTACGGGAAAGCCAAGGCGCATGTCAAATGGATCAGGTTTTCATCGATTTAGGAAAGATTATAGGAAAGACTTGTCAGCAGATATAAGCACAGTCTGTGGCTCGTTTTTGGAGTGGAAAAATCTATAGCATTTTATATCCTGAATACATTAATCATTCTATATTCCTTATCCATTCTCCTTCATTTTCTGTTCTGAAAGTAGAAAATCCAAGTAATTGTGGGGAAGCTTCTACTCTTCTGCACTCTCCTCGACTTTTGAAATGCCACCAATATACCGCAAAGAAGCAAAACCTCTCACGAACTCAATTAGTTAAACTGTGAAGCTATTGCTTCCTTTAAGGCACACAGAGTCTACTCCTCTCCGAGTGCAGTGTGTCAAACAATTCATTATTTTATAAAATATTTTTAATAAATTTCAAAAAATAGTTTTACTTCTGTTATCGCAGCGAATTTTCTTTAATTATGGCGGCTTAATATTTGCCTTTATGCATTTTTAAAATAACTTAGACACACACACACACAAGCAACAACACCCTAGAGTATAATTCAGTCGTACATTCAACCTTAAAGCCGCGCCTTTGTCTAAATAACCGTAAGCGATTCCGCTGGCCCTCCAACGAATTATGTCCTCCGAGACTTTCTTGTAGTTTTCATAGCACAATTTTCGTAGCATGTCGTAAGGAAAAGAGGAAAAGAGAGAGCGGGATAGCATGCAACTCTATGGCTTGCACTGTAAGCATTACAAAAATAATAATAATAATAATAAGAGTAATAACTAAATAAAATAATAAAGCAACTACAACGCTGAACTAGACCATCGCTAGCAGACTGACAGTCCGTCCGTCTATTCGACCGCTGCTTCAACTTTTTTCTATTTATTAGTTCGATAGGGCACTTCCTTCCTACAGTGCTTCGACTAGCTCTATACATTTGCCTAAAGATATGTGTGTGTGTGCTTTGCTGGCATACAGTTGAGACATTGGAATTATTGTCATCTGCATGCCAAGGCACGGCATGATAGGACGCTGCTCATCAACGTTCATTTCATTGAAAAATGCCAACTTCGAGTAGAATTTTTATAAGAACTTTTATGCGAGGAAACTTTTTCTTTTTAAATATTTTTTTTTCCACTTCTCCTGCTCTTGTTTTACTCCTTAGGTGCTAGAGCAAGGCAAATTGTGGCAGGCATACACACACACACACACACACTCACGTACGAATTTAAATTGGAATTTATGTGCGCTTGGCTGTGTGTGCGTTGGCGTGCTGCGCGAGGCCACCACGAGTCAAGCCACACCGAAACTAGGCAGCGCGCCTAACAAAGCGTCCGCAGTGCCAGCGCTCCCAGCGCGGCCATTTCATTACATTCTATTTTATTATTTTATGGCATTTTCTGTTATTTAATTTTTCCAACCCCATTCCTTTAGTTCTCTGGCACGCCACCTTTTTCCACTGTACTACTCATTCAACTTTCAACTTGATCCTGCCCCGTTTCAATTGTTCTAATATTGTGAGGCAAACAATGTTTTTGTTTTTGTTTTTGTTTAATTTTTTTTTTTTTTATAATTTTTGTAGCTTTTGTTTTTAGCCAAGCATTGTTGATGAAAAAGTATTATAAGCGCGAGTGTGTGCTTATGCATATTAAATACAGGGTGCGGCGGCATGTGGCATGCGGCTTACGGCTACATTTACGACATATTGTTTGTGCGGCCGTCTAGAAATTTTTGTCTAGGAATGTGGCAGTGATGGTGCTGATTTGCAGTCAACTGTATTCACTGTTTAGATAAACTTTTGTTTATATTTAAATATGTGTATACCCAGCAGTAAAATGAACTAGTTAAGAAATGTCTCCCAATTGGTATGATAAATGAGCAGAACTAGTATTTATTCCATATACAACGGTTACTTTTAATATGAAGATAATCTGCGAGTTGGAAATTAACAGTATTCAACCATAAGTGGATCGGTTCCTTACTAGTGCATAATGGACTAGTCGACTTTTAAGCCAAATTCGTTCAAAAAATTAATTTAAATAATAAATAGGTAAATAACTGTAAAAAACTAAGGACGAAGTTCATTGAAAATCCAATATCCTCTTGTATGGTAAAGATCTAATGGTTTTTTAATAGATAAGCAATGAAGAAACTGCTATTCAATTGTTTGTTACTTCCTTAATTTCTGCAACGATTTGTTATAATTGCACTTAATTTTTATATATTTCTTTAATATATTAAGTATTATTATATATCAGTATTTATTAATTATCTAAATTTACAGAAAAAATTTATCAACTTTACAAGTGCTCACAACTTTCATCGTTTGCACTCTTCTAATATACCTTGATTAAGTGATTAAAAATTAATTAATAAGAAACAAAAAATAAAAATTCAATATTGCTATTTTCGTAATTGGTACCGGTTTGGTACTTTTCGGACTAGTACGAATTTAGTTGGAACTTTTTAGCATTAAAGTAGCTTGTAGTTACATGAATATATATATAAATATATATATTTATATACATATTTTTTTTTATGAGTGCTACTTACAATATCGTCCAAGTTGTTCGTCGGCTCCTTCATACCATGTCGTAGATGAGCAGCACAGCAATCTGCAAAATTAAAGGAAAAAAAAAATTAAAAAAAAAATAATAATTAAATAAAAGAAAAAAAAATTAATAGGAAAATACAAACAAAAACTAAAAAAATACATATAAGCAAACACAAAAACAAATAGACACAATGAAAATCTAAAACTTTCCCCGAAGAACTAGTTAAGTACCAGTGACTACGCTGTACTCAGTAAAGCAATGACCGATCTAGTTATATTGAGAAATAAAAATTAAAAATTTAAAAGTTTTTTTTTGCTTTTGAGAAATCTATGAACTTCAAGCTGATACTCAACAACATTCTCCAATGGCTCTCTACTCTTTGAGAACCATATTTTTTGAATTTTGGAATTACAGTTGTTATGAGTCTAAAACATATATCTCTTAGTCGAAAACAATATGACTCTTCAGTGAGGACTGAGGAACAAAATTTGAGAGTTTGGAAGCTAACTGTAGTCCTCTTAACAACAAAGTGAACTCAAACATGCTTTATTATAATTTCGAAAATGAATTGGTTATACCGAGCGCAGCAGCGTCTTGGCTCTAACTCCAACTTCGAGCTCAAGAAAAAGCCTCATGGACCGAGTGCTCATGTGTGAATCGCTGCTGAAACGTAATAAAATATACCCTTTACTGAAGCGATGAAGACCGGTGATGAAAAGAAGAGTATGGCGACAAATGAAAATGGTCATGAACGAGGGGCAGTAAGCTGGCACAAACGTTCTCCAAGCCAGGAATGACGGACAGGAAAGATTTTTGTTTGTTTGGTGGAACTGGCGAGAAATAATCCACAGTGAACTGATCCACTACTGCCAAACTCACAATTCGGACCTGAACTATCAGCAAGTGGTTCGTCTGATGGAAGCAACAGCCCATAAGCACTCAGTTCTGATCAACACGAGAGCAATTGCGTTTAATCAGGGCAACTACAGACCATACACGACGATAGTGAATCGCCAGAAGCTGCGAGGGCATTCCCTTTATAGTACGGACCTCACAACACGTGATTTCTATCTGTTCCTGTCTGTGACGAATGTTTTGGCTGAAGAAGTATTGGCTTCAAGATAAGCATAAGCCAAGGTAAAACTTCACTTAGTCTTTGACTGTCACCAGATTGGTTTCAATGTTATGAGTTCTAGTTCACTCGCAATTTCCTATTTTAATATCACTGAATTATTATATAGATACTTGCTTACATATCTACAAACCTAAATAATATATATATAACAAAGAAAAATATGTAAAATACGGATTTGCGTGCTGCAATAACTTGACATTAGCCATATACACGGCATGGCACAGAGCCCCACGAGCCGGCTGAATTTCAAAGCACAAATGTTATTCTAAAGTCCGAATGGAAGGAGATGGTAGAACAGGGAAAAGCGTCATTTCAATTGCCGCTACTTTTACGAGTTATTTGCATTTAAATGTCGTTTGCTGATAACAATTAAAATAAATGTCCGTCCGCGCGGCGACACAAACACTTGTATGGGCACGTGGCTGTGGCGTGTTGAAGAGCGCTTAGCTGTTGGGAAGGGAGTAGAGGCAAACTTTCAAAACTTTGCCAAATATTTTCTCACAGTAACAGCTATATGCGTGTTGACGGCGCGAGTTGGCTGAGTTTTTTGCCTGCTTGGTGCTTTCTTTTTTACTTCTTTGGTTTGGATTGGCTTTGGTACGCTTGGCTGCAGCTGAAACGTGGTGTCCAACTGTGTAGTGCTTAGCAGCAGCTACAATTTGACGTTAGTCTGACACACACACACACAATGTTTTCGCTGTCAAAGTCTGCTTTTCACGGTCATTGCCATTGTCACAGTTGCGTGTGATCTTCCCCACCGCCTGCAGGGTGACCCTCCATCAATCCATCCTCGACATATAATTGCCTGTGATTTAATCTAACGCATTTCCGCTATTTAAACAACACTTAAAAAATCGTTTTGGAATTTTTTTTTCTCTTCACTTTTTACTCCGCATTTTTGGGTATTGTGAGCTTGCCTTATCACACTATGGTCATAAACAAATATCACTCATTAGGGGAGACGAGCAGAACAAATGTACGCTATTAGACGGACTTCAGCGTGGGTGTAGTTGGGAGAAAAGAGAGAGAGAGAGACTGATGTTGAAACAAGTAGTGAAGTGTTCATCTTGTACTCCGAACTGGATAAAGAAGCGAAGCATCTGGGTTCTGGTAGGGAATGAGGGCAAGACGAATTAATTCTTGTCGTCACACAAACAATCATCGCATTCGCGACTCGGTTCCCACATTAAGTCGTAGATAACTAAGTTTTTCTGGGAACCAGCATCAACACAATTAATAATGTCAGCCTTGAAATCCAACGCAGAATCACTCTTGCAACAGTTGCTACTTTAGACTCCCCTAATGAGTGATATGGACTAAGTCGACAATTGAAAAGTTATTTCCTCTCTCGACGAACAAAGTCCAAGTCTTTTCAAGCTTTTATTCGCTAATCTCGTAACACTCCTCGCTCATGGGGGTTGGAGTCCAAAATTTAGAGTCGAATGATTGGAGTATTTTAAATAGATCTTCAGTGGACCCACAGAGAGCTCTGACGCTACCAGCAGCGCAGTGACAAATCGTTGAAGACTCTCAGGGCTATCCATAGCTCACCTCTTTGTTCAGTAATAATTTCGTTATGTGTGTGTGACCAAAAGCTTTCAACAGTTAAACTTCGTTTAAAAAATGCCCAAAAATAATGAATTAATTCGAGTTTCAATTTAACCATAATCACGCACTTTACACACTCCATTTATTTGAGTTCATTTTATCACTTTTATATCCAACTTCATGTGGATAAATTCTTATTTACGCCCTGCAAGGTAGTATTTTACGGTGTTTTAAGGTTGCTGTGGATTAGTTATGCCTTTATTGGTATCATTTATCATTGTCAGTTTTCTTTATTGGTGGGTTTTGGTTTTCCGTCGTTTGTTTATTTCGGTTTTACTGCCAGCGCCCAATTGCAAGTAAGTATTTGTATGTGTACGTGCGTATGTGATATAATGAATGAATGAATGTGTAATGGAAATTTCATTGGCTTATTATGATTGTGTTTGAAATGCGTATTAACTGCATCTTCTTCTACCATTTTTCAATTCCGCTTATCTCATCATATTCTTTTATGACACCCACTAATGATAAAATGTGTATGTGTGTGCGTATGTGTCAATCTTATCAGTGATCTATACAAAGCAAAACACAATCCACACACATATACAGCCATTTCCCACCCGCATTTTTTTATTTAAAATGCACTTTTTGATGGCAAAGTCATTAAGCTTTATGTGAACCAGCGGTACCTTCATCTTTTTCGTTGAACATAAAAACATTTAAGTTTATTAAATATAAATTTTATGCGTGTGTGGTAAAGGAAGAAGGATTTATGTTTAAATGTAGATGATTGCATGTTGTTTAAGAGGCTTAACTGACTACTGTTAGAGACCTACGGGATTTACTTTTTAATATTGTATATACTTTGAGTTAAGAAAGCAGTTTTAGAATGAATTGAAAAGCCAGTAAAGAGCTGTCAATCAATTGTGTGTTTTTTGATATAAAAACCTTAGTTTAAAAATCATAATATCCTCTAGTCAGACCACCAATCGAAAATTTTCTAAAAAATTTTCTCAAAAAATAAACAAAAAATAAGTCTTAGAGCCACCTAGCAGGAAATGTTAAGTACTCCGCTTGTACCTCTAATTTAATTTATTATACTTTAAATTAATTGATATTATTTTATTTTATTTTATTTTATTTTATTTTATTTTATTTTATTTTATTTTATTTTATTTTATTTTATTTTATTTTATTTTATTTTATTTTATTTTATTTTATTTTATTTTATTTTATTTTATTTTATTTTATTTTATTTTATTTGGTTTTATATATATTTTAATTCTTTTCTATTTTATTTTACATAATTCATTTCATTCCGTTTTTTAGTCTCATTTGTTCTGCTTTTGTTTTTTGTTTTTGCTAATCGAAAGCCTATAAAAAAATTGATATCGGTTTAACTTAATAATTAACTTGCAAGTGTTATTCACACACATTAATAAAAACTTGGAACAGGAGAAGAAAATCGGATTTGCACAGGCTTTAATTAGTTTTTAAATCAATTTTACCAAGGCAATAAATCACTTGTTGCCTTTGTATATGGAGTAACATGTGTGTATATGATATAGGTAACTAAGCTTTGAAAAGTATCCATTTGGCCTCAATTTAGAGTTTAAGGCAGTTAAATATTGAGAAAATTTGAAGTAATTGTAACATCACTCCGTTTATTGCTTATTCAGCAATGACTGAAATTTACGCAATAAATTTTGAATGAAATGTCATCAGCATATACAACTGACCTTTGACATAATAACTTAATTAACTAAGTATAAGTTAGTTAAGACATCTTGATATACTCACGAACGTGCGTTTGCATGTACAAAGGTTAACAAATTTAATTACATCTAATCACAGGTTAACTTTGTATCCGAAATTGTAGAAAATTATAAAATGACCAACCGCAATGCCTCAACCGAGTTTTAGTGTTGCGATAAATCTAAAGCTTCGTCTTAAGGCAAAGGTACCCACGCACTCACACAATCACCCACACACACTCGGAAAAGGCAGCTTTACTTATAATTGCAGTTATTTTATAGCCAAAAATAGGAAATTCTCATTTACTTAAGTGTGAAATTAAATTTGACCACCTGAAATCAAGATAATTTTGAACGAAATTTGAATTTCTTTGTTCGAAAGCATTCGAATGGAACCAACCAAAAGTAGATGCTGATGACCTTTGCTTTGTCTTTTGTAATTAAATCGGGGAACAATAGGTGTGGGTGGTGGGAAATTGTACCCGGGAGATTTTGGTGATAATATTAAATTGAATAGTTGCACAAAGAGACATACATGCGTATACACTTACATATGTATATACATATATTTCTATAGCGCTATGTTGCAGTGATGATGAACATTTGCTCTCCGTTGAATCTTT